GAGCTCGGGTGAGTGGGAGCCGCGGACGCGGTCCCAGGGTCCCCTCCTTCGGAGCCAGGACGCGCGCCCCCAGCCTCTTCCCCACTGAGGCCCTGGGAGCCTCCGGGAGCCGAGACCTCCCCCCCAGCCTCCGGGATCCTCCTCGGACTGCCCCTTCCATCGCCTCCGTGGTGGACTTCGCCCCTCACAGACGGGTGCTCCCCAGACCCGGGCTGGTGGGAGAGTCCGGCTTGAGTGGGTCTCAGTGGGGAGACGAGATGCCCCGGCAGGGGAGGGTGCGGGAACCTGGAACGCGGCTCTCCTGTTCTCAGCCCTCCAGCCTCAGCCGAGACTCCAGGCCTCTCCTCCTTCAGACCTGGAATTCGGGCTTTCAGCCTCAGCCCCAGGAGAAGTCTCAACCCCCCCTTTTTTTCCTTTTTTTAAGTCGAGGTCTCACTCTGTTGCCCAGACTGGAGTGCAGTGGCACCATGACCGCTCACTGCAGCCACGACCTCCTGGGTTCAGGCAGTCCCCCCATCTCAGCCTCCCAGGTAGCTAGGACTACAGGGCATGTCATCACCTTGCCTGCCTAACTTTTTTATTTTTTGTAAAGACGTCTTGCTGTGTTAGCTCAGGCTGGTTTTGAACTCCTGGGCCCAAGTGATCCTCCCAACTTGACCTCCCAAAGTGCTGGGATTACAGATTGTTTCTTCTTCTTGTTGGTTTGGTTTGGTTTTGAGTCGAAGTCTCACTCTGTCACCCAGGCACACTCACGGCCACCACGGCCTGCACCTGCTGGGCTCAGGCGATCCTTCCGCCTCAGCCTTCCCAGTAGTAGCTGGAACCACAGGCGCACACCACCACACCTGGCTAATTTTTTCATTTATTGTGGAGATGAGGTCTTGCCAAGTTGCCCAGGCTGGTCTCGAATCCCTTGGCTCAGGAAATCCTCTCACCTCCACTTCCCAAAGTGCTGGAATTGCAGGCGTGAGCCACCGTACCCAGCCCAGGGTGTTTTTTGCTTTTGCTTTTTTGTCACCCTTTAGCTTCTTCATTCTCTGAGGCCAGGAGCACCGGGACCACAGGTCTCTCTCTCCTCCCTGACCAGCCTCCTCAGGCTCTGAGCTAATTCTCCTCCCCTCCCCTGCAGCCATGTGGCCCCTCAGTCATCGTCAGCTCTGCCTGGGCTTCCTGCTCATCTGTGTCCTCTCAGGCATCTCCTTCTTCCTCCATATGCACCAATCCGTCTTTCGAAATGGCCTAGACCTGCCGGTCCTGTGTCCAGACCGTCACCTGGTGACAGACCCCGTGGCCATCATCTGCATGCCGGGTACACCACAGGCCCCCAACACCTCCTCTTCATGTCCCCAGCAGCCTGCTTCCCTCTCAGGGACCTGGACTATCTCCCCAGATGGCCGGTTTGGAAACCAGATGGGGCAGTATGCCACCCTGCTGGCCCTGGCCCAGCTCAACGGCCGTCGGGCTTTCATCTTGCCCGCCATGCACGCCGCCTTGTCCCCGGTGTTCCGCATCACCCTGCCTGTGCTGGCGCCCGAGGTGGACAGCCGTATGCCCTGGCGGAAGCTGCAGCTACACGACTGGATGTCAGAGGACTACGCCCTCTTGCAGGACCCTCTGCTGAAGCTGTCGGGCTTCCCCTGCTCCTGGACGTTTTTCCACCATCTGCGGGAACAGATCCACGCCGAGTTTAGCCTGCATGACCATCTTCGGGACGAGGCCCAGAGTCTGCTGGGTGGCCTCCGCCTGGGCCACACCGGGGACCGCCCAAGCACCTACGTGGGGGTCCACGTGCGCCGTGGGGACTACCTGCAGGTGATGCCCGATCGCTGGAAGGGTGTGGTGGGCGACCGTGACTACCTACGGCAGGCCATGGACTGGTTCCGGGCCCGGCATGAAGCCCCCATCTTTGTGGTCACCAGCAATGGCATGGAGTGGTGCAGGGGGAACATTGACACCTCCCACGGCGACGTGGTCTTTGCTGGCGATGGGCAAGAGGGCTCACCTGGGAAGGATTTTGCGCTGCTCACACAGTGCAACCACACCATCATGACCATCGGCACCTTTGGCTTCTGGGCCGCCTACCTGGCGGGTGGGGACACTGTCTACCTGGCCAACTTCACCCTGCCGGACTCTGCGTTCCTGAAGATCTTTAAGCCCGAGGCTGCCTTCCTGCCTGAGTGGGTGGGCATTAATGCAGACTTGTCTCCACTCCAGGCGCTGCCTGAGCCTTGAGAATCAGGGAGACTTTCTGGAACAGCCAGCTGTGCTTGGCTCCAGAGGCCTGGTGTCTTTTGGAGGAGCTTGTGGTAGTCCTGGAGCAGGTGGGCGCCCATTTCCAGAGTGACTGTCTGGGCGAGGGGTGTACTCCCTGGAACTGCCTGAACATTGTAGAACCAGAAGAACCTCTTCTTCTAATGGCTGGCAGTATCTGGAGAAGCTCTTGGCAGTTCTAGAAGCCACAGTGCCCACCTGCTCTTCCCAGCCCCTATTTAGAGTGCATCTAGATGGCTTCCCCCAGGAATAGGGAACCCTCCCTCTGGTGTTGACCATCCTGCTCTTTTTTTTTTTAAGATAAAGATGTGGGGTACAATTCAGGGTTAGGTATACAAGCATTGATTATGCAGGTATCCTTGTTGATGAGGTGTGCCCCTCCCTCCTCTGGCAGTTTCCCTCAACTGCCAATCGCTTTCTTTTCTTTTTTTTTGAGTTGGAGTCTCACTCTGTCGCCCGAACTGGAGTGCAGTGGTCGCTCCTGGCCACCGCAGCCTCGACCTGCTGGGCTCCGGCAATCCTTCCGCCTCAGCCTTCCAAGTAGCTGGAACTACAGGCGTGTGCTACCATGCCCGGCTAATTTTTTGATTTATTG